CTTTAATTTTACCAACATTTGTCAAAAAACGAATTGCTATTGCCACAACAGTATTGTGCCCAGCCCATGGACTTCAAACACAACAATGTTTTTAAACGGGTACGATAGTTTGTATGAGTTTTTTTCTTCGGTATGGCAAATGACGATCGGCGTGAGACAGTCGTCGTCGGAAAGCTGTAGGCTACGGCCATGCTAAGGTCACATCCAATGACCTTGAAAGAACAAAGACATCCAAGTAAATCTTTACAAGCCATTGCCCTACATCGCACGCTTCTAAGAGACTTACGGATAAAGGGAAATTCATAAATGTTGCCTTTTAAGAGAGATCATTGTCAACACGCATAAGATAACCAGACCTTGTATTGGGTCCCAACCAAGCTGGCATGATATTTAAAGCGGAAACAGTTAAAAACCAATTCTAATCCAGAAAAAGCTCTCGGGGAAAAATAGGTCACATAGATCGCTACTTATGTCCTCAAACTCTGCGAGTCATGCTTCCGTGATGAAAACAGTGCTTCAGTTTGACGCTACAACATACACGGTCCCGGGAATGAAATGCATGAAAGTGAGAACGTGCATAGCTCCAACATCTCTACAAACAGGAAGACTTATTGCGAACTGAAACTCGTGTAACCTGGAAAGACGAATGGAATTGCGTTGACTTTAGGGACGAAAAAAATTAGGTTAGATGGACTCGATGCGTGTAACGACTACTGGTATAGTCTATTGGACCATCGCTACTTCAGTAAGCTGATTAATTATCCAAACCCGAACTCGCTGTACTACGGGAGTTCAAGATTCCAATGCATATGTTTGTACATTGAAGTGGTACCTGATAATAGCAATGGCATCCATCGGATGATAACCCTGAAACCACTTTTCCAGCATGATATCATTGCAGTTTATTGTTCGTCTCTAGCAAAATGCTGAGTATTGTTTCGCGGCATCAAAACTATTGTGTGGTCTGCGTGCAGCCCAGATTTGAACCTAATGGAAAATTTGTTGGGCTATTCTTACCCGAAAAAGGCGTTAACACTCCTAAATTTAAATCAGAAATCATGAATAAGAAGCACTATTGATTAGGAAGTGGAATAATATTGACAAGGATGTA